AAAAGACGTTTTAAAGCATAATTAATTTAATGGAATTCTCGGCTGAAAAACGCTTAAGCTCTAGACCATAAGTTTGATATGATTTAAAACTGACTTGATGGTTTACAACATGGGCTTCGCTCAAAAGGAAAAAAAAAATTCAACTGACTTGAATACTGAGTGTTTCGTTTTCGGATCTTTTATCTTCAATTTTCCCACTAGTCGCCACGTTTTACCTCGCAAAGTTTCCTGGTAGTTTATGACGTCAATATGACAGCGTGAAGGATTTTAAAGCGTGTAAAGCTTTTATTAGAAAAACGTAAAATAAACTAAAAAAGCAGTTAAGAATCTACCCCTTTCATAATATTTTATTCACTACTTCGTAGCAAGTAAAACGTCACAGTCCACGATCCTTCCACCTCTTTATCTAAAGCTGTCATCATCCACAGAACAAAGTTCAAATATTACTCCAGGGGCAGTCCTAATGCCTTGAAAAGAAAAGCGTACTCCTTTGCTGCCTATGAAAACAGTGACAAAAGAAATATATAAAAAAAACAATTACTTTTCAATATTTTCTTCGTATTTTTTTAACACAATTTGATAAAAGTGGTTTGACTAGTGGCAGGGCTTGGATGTTGCTTGCATATGAGAAATGGTACCGCTGTGCATTGTAAATGTAGTTCTGTAAAAGCGCAGTGTAGATACCGGTACCTTAATCTTAAATGTGCCCACATTAATTTTTGTATTTCATTACTTGCGGTTATCGAATAAATAAAATTACACTGGAACCTCGATTTAACGAAGTGTCAAGGGACTGGAGAAATTGGTTCATTGTATCGACGGTTTGCTCTATCGAAAACCTCGATTTAACGAATTTGCGGTAAAACCAAAATGTTCAAAATGCTTTTTCTTTCCTTTCATTTTTTTTTTCGGCGTGACGTTGCGCTATCTAACATTTTGGGAAGAACAGTACTCAATCGATCTCTCATCGACCGAAAATTCGTAGGGAGGAGTTAGAATGAAACTAGAAATTGATTCAATACAAGTTAATTCAAGACAAACTGAAGTCCATTCGATACATAAAAAAAGTCGACTAGATACAATTCAAGTCATTTTGATACAAAGTAAAGGTATATTTGGAGTTCGCTACTTCTAAGAAAACAGAACTAAAATAAGACGTTACTGAAATAACCTTAAACGCTGGTGAAACAACCTATGAGACATATGTGAAATGACTTGAGACATTGGCGAAACGACCCAAGGTGTAAGCGAACTGGTCGTTAGCAAGACGACTCATACTTGTACATGCTTCATGCAATAGGTATCAGAACTAGTATCATTCTACCAATAACTGCCATTTGGATTGAAAAAATCTTAAGTAGTAAATTATGTGAAGCTCCTTTAAGCAGTATGGAAAAGAAATCAAAGAATGTAATAAAAGTACCTTTTCAATTCTGTGGTACACTCCTTCTGTTTCTGAGTGTCCTCCATAGTATTCAACATGACAGACTACCAGGGGCTTTTCTCCCTGGGCATGGTGAGACAACTGATCTCTTAGTCGAGCGACCCACTTCAGGGGCAGCCAGTAAGGCACACGATCATCATTCATTGCCGTGGTCACCATCACTGAAGGGTACACCTGTGAAAGACACAATATTAATAATAAAACAGTTTATATATAATAAATTCGTTTAACTGCATCCTGTAGTCATATCCATAAAAGATGAGGTATCGAAATGGTTGGTACGCTGAAAACCAGGCCGGGTTCATCAAAGCGCGATTAAGCTAACCGAGGGTTGGCCAACAATTTTTAAATTTAATCCTAACTATTGAAACATAAAAAGATTTGCATCACTGGGCCAGAACTTTACCTGATCTTTAATGTTCTGGTACGGACAGTAGGATTTAATGTAATGAAAATCACTTTCATTGGACCTGAAAAGTAAATAATTGAAATGCTCAAGACCAGGAATGCACGGATGACTGGACTTACAGAGAAAGTGTCTCAGATGATGTTAAGCTAACGAGCAGAGTCTCATTAGTGCTTTGATCGCATACGCCATGCCATTTGTGGCAAAGCTCCGATGAGAGCCTACATGTATGTACAGGCTACAGATGATAGTACTGGTCAGGTCTTTGTCGAGAGCAGTCTGTTTCAGGACTAATGAACAAAGGGGTATGTTTCTAAAGAAACTATGGTGCTGCATCGTTGGGAGAGTACAACAAGATTATTTGGTATTATCAACTGACTTGAAAACGTTAATTAGCCACCATAAAGAGTTTCGAAGCCGACGTTTCGGGCGTTAGCCCTTCGTCCTCATTCACTCTGACGAAGGGCTAACGCTCGAAACGTCAGCTTTTAAACTCTTTACGGTGGCCAATTTCCGCTATCAACTCAGTTGATAACACTAATTAAATTACCCTGTTTCAGGACTAGCTAAGAAATCAAAGAGATCTCTTAAAAACTTCAAAATAATCTTGGATGCATTTTCTACTGACAAGTACATCTTAATGACACTGAACAAATATTTCATACCCAGGTTCACCCCACTCTTCATATTCCTGAACTGTCAATGGAAGAGAAGGGTCCAACATTGACGTCAAAATATCTAAAAATGGAACCTGTCAGAGGAAGTTCTGATTAGCAGAGTAACAATGCCTTGTAACCAAAGAACTGATACATCAAAAGAGTTTTCTAAAAGATAGAGGATGGTAAAAATTGATTTTAACTACAATTAAGTCTCGAAAAAAAATTGCGTTCACTTTTTCTCAAACTCTAGACCTGATGAAATCCTGAAGGACAATTTATCAACTGAGAGTTCAAAGCTTAGTTGGGATCCATGCAGTAACAAAAAGCCAACAATAAAACTAAGTGATTATGAAAGCCATCTTCGCAGTAATTAACACTACTTAAGCAGCAGTGAAAATATAGCCTGAAAAATTCAGGCCAGAACGGGATTTGAACCCCTGACCTCTGCAATACCGGTGCAGTGCTCTACCAACTGAGCTAACAAGTTAACTGGGAGCTGGTCATCATGTTGGTTCGTAACAAACCCATAAAATTATATTTCATATATTCACAGTCAATTAACATTTAACCATAGTTGTCATTATCATCAACATTATTGTAGTCAACACTGTCATCATCATCTGCATCAACCTCATTTTAATCATCACCGTTAACAATTTATCGTCAAAAAAAAGCAAAGACAAAAACAGCAACATACTACGTTCTATAAAAGTAGTCTAACCTTAAGAATAACTGCCTTAAATAACTCAGGTGATCTGTTACAGACGGCTCCCACTATCAATCCCCCTGCACTTGTCCCGCGTGCTGCCGTTAACTGTGGGTTGGAATACCCCAAATTATGCAGTGCTTTAGCACAAGCTTCAAAATCCTGCAAGGCGAAATACCTGTCATTTTCCGATAAAATACTCTGAAAGCAACAAAATTTTTGAGCTGACAAGTATATACCTCAAAGCCTTTATGTTTATTCTGTAACTTTCCATCTAAGTACCACTCCCGTCCAAGTTCTCCACCACCTCTGTAGAATACAGATCTCATTTTTATTTAACATGAAATGTTTATTACAGTAAGAAACCTGGAAGATATGGCAGCGCAGAACTAATGAGCAATTGCCTGTCTATTCTCATTTCTGTTCGCATTTTAATCCCACAATTCATGACATTCAATAATAATTGATTCAAAATGAAATCTTGGAGAACATAATTGAGCAAAAAAAGATTACTAAAAAAATCAACAGCCCCACTTGCTAAAGTTTCTTCCCAGTCACATGGGTCAGATCATTATGATAGCGGAGCTCGCAGAGCGTAGCCCGATAATTATACAAAATAGTAGTAACCCATCAAGCCGAAAAAATTTGGATGTACGACCGTACGACCGTACAAGGTGCTACTTTTAACATGCGTGGTCAACTGTACCGCGGGCACGCCAACACCACGGCTTTGTTCAGTAGTCCAGTGATCAGTGCACTGGGCTCCGAGTCAGACAACCCGGGTTCTAGTCCTGGCCGGGGCAAAGCGTTGTGCTCTTCCCTTGAGACGTGCGAGAAAAAAAATGCGAGCTCCGCTTTTAGGCTTGGCTAAATCTATATATTAAATAAATTACCTGACATGACAGAAAGCAAGACACCATCCCCGTTTTAACAGACTGATCCTTTCCACATCAAAACCCATGTTGACATTGATACCATAGGAGCCTACAACAAACACATCATCAAAGATATTGTGCACAGTAATTCACCTTTGAGAAAACTGTTAATTTCTCCTATTTTTTTTCCTTTGTTTTAATTGTGGCACAATAACAACACTACAATCCTGTACATCACGGGGACTTACATCACATAACGATGTTGGGAAAAAGGAAAGAAACAATTACATCAATGCGCAAATAAAAGGGTACTGACCACACAAACTAAGCAAGGAAATTAATTAAAATGGAAAAAAAGGCGAAAGTTCCGGTGCCTTAAATATTTTTCTTAACATCGTTTAGATACTATTTTACTATTAAACTACACTATTCTTGGCAAGCTATGTTACAAAATGATACATTAAGTGTTTTCGATTAGGAACATTTTGTTAACAAGCAGTGTAGAGGAACATATGTGTAATATATTTTTAGAGTGAAATAAATATTCTGAAGGTAAGACTTCCTCAAATGTACCGATGATAAAGCTTACTTTCTTTACGAGTAAGTAAGGCAAGTTTTGACAAAGAAAAAGGGAAAAAAATACAGTCATTACCATAAACATGTAGAAGTAGGGGATTGCTTCCTTCCTTTTTTAGATCTTTGTGATGAAATAACGTGACAGGTATGTGAGTTCCATCCTAATGTACCCAAAATAAAAGCCACCATCATCGTCACTGAATTTTATGTGACCTCTCATACGAAAAAACACACGCTAACTAAGGCCTATCTTTTGAAACAGCTCAACCTGTTGGTTATCTGTTTGGTATCTTAAAAAATGTTTACAATAATTGCATAATACTGAAATCTTATGGCTGACCAATACGTCTTGACAAATGGGATGAATTTTAAAGACATTCTTTCAAATTATTGTGTAACCTGTAGTTAGGGTAGTGCAGCCCACTATTTCAATTTTTTTTTCCTTTACCCAAACTCATTGTTGCAGAAGATCTTTAAATATTCTGAGCAGGAATTACAGTGTAGATGGATTTTCCAGTACTTGTTTTGTTGCCATTTGGAGATACATGTACATGTATGCCACGTTGTTTAATTCATACAATCATAAATTTTCATTAAAATTGGGTGTTCTTGACACAAAAACGTCTAGGATCACTAGCCTGAGTACAGACGCCTCTTTCTCTTCAGAAATTAAATCAAGAATGAGGTGCGGCTGTCAAAACACTTGGGATGAAAAGCATTTTAACAACTACGCCCTTTGTGAATTGTACATATTCACTCTGCCAAAACCCTAACAGCCATATGAGTTCCCATCAAGTTGCAGCAGTTTTATATCAACAAAAATATTATCATTGATTTGAATTAATCAAAGCACAATGTATCTTACTTTACTTTGTATTTCAAGTCGGGTGCAGCAAAAGTCTGAGCTGTCAAAAGATGGCAAAACAGAGAAGCTATGTTTTTCAACCTGAGGAGAAGTAAAGACTAAGGTAAGAATAATGCTTGTTGATCTAAATGATGATATAATATGATTTTAAGGGGAAGGTGGCTCGGAAAGAACAACAAGGAAAAGCATGCTGGGGAAGAAAGGACATAAAAAAAGTTTTCAATAAAGTATGTGACAGAAGTCTCTTATAAAATTTGGGGGCACAAATGTCACTTCACCTTAAAACAAAGAGTGCTTCTTTGCATCCTTCACTTATTTTTTTTAAAAATGATGTGTTAAACATCAAACATCAAAAAGTACATTTAGCATTACACCTCTCACTTCTATGAGAGACCAAAAAAGAATT